AGATGACGCACTTTGGGTAATGGTCCACTTTCACTGGGGTTGTCGGGGATAGCCGGGGCGTCGGGGAGGGGGGGGGGGGTTCAAACAAATCGAAATTGAAATATAATGATATTGATACCAATTGTGTTTGCTTATCCTACTTGTAACACAAAAGAGCAAGTGCGCGTGTGAATAGGGTGTCTCGGCGAGGACCGTACGAATCGTAGCTCGGCCTCATCACGTCAGCAGTCACGGTGCACAAGTGCAAGCACAATCACAAGCAAGATGAGCTAACATCTCAGCTCAGCTCTTGCAACAAATACCGTGGTACAACGTATCGTCGGGCCAAGGACTCGAACTGCTGTGGTAGTGTCGCGGCTAAAAAAAAAAAAAAAAAACCTCGGCAGTCTGGGAGCGAGCGGGTTGCTGAGCCAGAGACCAGATCAAGGCATGGAACATTGACAGACATCATGGGGATCCAGGTCACATGCATGCGAACAAGTGAGTGTGAATGATATGGTATTCCATGGGTATCAATTAATCAAGACAGTCTTCGCAGACGACCTGTGATGCAATGCAATGCGATGCGTGCCATGTGATGCGATGCCAGTGTGCAGCCCGTGCAAATGCCCAAAACTCCCAGTTCCATGCGTTCAATCCTCCAAGCCAGCCTCGAGGCCTGTAAGTCTCAGGCGGCGACAGTTCGGGGTATCATTCAAGAAAATGCAAGCGAAGCGGAAAACACCGCGAAGACCCACGGAGAAGCACCGAGCACAAGCTGGGATAGCGATACACCGAATGGCTGGAGAGTAATTCTACCTCGGTGCTTCTCCGATGGCCAAGCCATCTCATTCGTGGGTAAAGGGGGAGGGAACCTCGGTGGCACAGACCAGACCGAGAACCCTGCCGAAGGAGGCAGAAGGGGGAGACTCCAGGGCCACCGGAATTTCCCACGCGAGCCCTCCGGCCGGCCGACGATGGACCGAAGACCCTGCTCTCACTGCCTTTTGCCTGGTAGGGGGGAGGGAAAGGCGGCAGAGAGAAAGCAGGCTGTGGGGGAGGTGGATATTGCTTCGAGTGTGTGGGGGGCCGTGGGTGGGATGCCCATGTTCTGAAATCCCGCTCTAGGGAACAGTAGCGCCCGAATGCCCCCGAAGGCTCAATGCAGAACGTGGGTGCTGTCCCACGTTCTTCACCGTCGGCTGTCGGCCGTCGGTCCGACAGCTAACAGCTGGGCGGTAAGCCTAAGCTCAGCTGGGTCAAGGTCCGTAATCGGTTGAGCCTGTTTTGCTGGCTTGGTCTTATGGCTGCCCGGTCGCGGCGCACACGTCACCACTGGTGGTCGTGATTTTTTGCCTGCTCGCGCGCACTTACACAGACACTCGCAAATGAGTCGTGTGGTGCGTCATGAGCGAGACGCAGAAAATCATTGTCGCGTTTTTGCCTTGACCAGGTGACGTGGTCCGAGGCAAAATGCCATGCTGCGGTCAGGCACACCAAGGCGATTCCTGATTTCGCCGTTGGGCTTTAGGCAGGGGCGCCTCTAAGGTTTTGGAAATGGCAGTGTCATGACACTCCGTCCAGTAATCTTGAGCCACCTGTTAGCTGATTGGCTCACGCACGTTTGTGGTCGTTGTTGTTTACGAGCACACTTACAATTCTGTGTTGTCTGTGGCGGTATCGCCATTGGCAGTGGCCCTTTCACTCGGAAATGGGCGTCATGGAAGCGAGCTTGCTCTTGGGGCTCTTCTTGGATGAGCTCGAAGACCCCTTGGCAGCACGGCGCTTCATGGCCATGGCCGTGCGGCGGCGCTCCTTCTCGTTGATCACGTAACGGAGGGCGGCCTCGCGCTCCATGGCGGCGTGACGTTGGCGTTCGCGCTCCATCTGAAGCTGAAGTTGCATCTCGTCCTCGGCCACCGTGGGCGACGCACAGGAACCGGTGCTCGTTACGCTGTGGGCGTCGTCCTCAAAGGGGTCCGAAGGGAAGAGATCGTCGTCCGAGAGGTAGGATGTCGGGCGCTCGCTCTCGGCCGAAGAGAGAGAGTCGCGACGCGGCCACGAGGGGAAGGCGCAAGACCTGTCGTGGGCGAGCATGTTGCTCGAGGTGATATCCATGGGGGCCGACATGGTGAGGGAGCCCATGGAGCTGTAAGAGCCGTACGAACCGTACATGGCGACTATCGGTAGTGGTGGATCGGGTTGATGTGTGACAATACCGCTGTCAAGTCTGGGGAATGTCTGTTGTCTGTGGGGAGAAAAGGGAGCCAGAGATCGAATGCCCGGAACAAGGGGGTGGGGGAGGAGGATATTATATCTCGAGGGTGAAGCCTTCCTTGTGTACCGGGATCTGGTCCGGTCGGATGCGCAAAGGCAAGGAAAGACGGTAAATTGATGGTGGGGCGCCTTCAGTCTCGTCCGGATTGCTAGGGTGTGGGGGGGAGGGAAGGTGTGAAGGGT